AGCCATTGAATATAGCAGTTAGGGTGCATTTAGGGTTTCTCTAGACAGGTGGAGTTAAGGCAGCTTTAATCAGATGGCTTTGGCTGGCTGTGAAGTAAGAGACAGGGTAATCTGCAGAGGGTACGAGTGGGTGTTGGGAGGCCTCTGGGAGAAGCCAGCATGCTGTTTATCTCCCATGAGCTCCTTGGGTGTAGGGGCTGTCTTCACTGGTGTGCCCTGGTGCTTAATTAATGCATAAGACTCAATTTTGTGGTGGCTGGCTGACTCGCAGAATGAATGAACGAACGCGTGAAAGAACAAATTTGGTGGGAAGTAATCTGAACTGAACAAAATAATTGTGGAGGAGCAGTGAAAGCTCATCTGAAAGTCAGTAGCCTCGTGGTACTTTCTGAAATCTCAGTAATCTGGAGAAATAATAGTGGGTGTTTCCTGGCTGGGATTGGCAGTTGAGTGTAAATGAAAAAAACAAAACCCTAGAGAACAGACTAATGGGATATACAAAGAATTTTTTTGTTTTTTAAAGGAAGTCTTTATTTTTATTAAAAAATAGATCTTTATTGATTTCAGAGAGGGAGGAGACAGAAACATCAATGATGAGAGAGTCATTGATCAGCTGCCTCCTGCACGCTTCCAACTGGGGTTAGAGCCCAAAACCCGGGCATGTGCCCTGACTGGGAATTGAACCTTGAGCTCCCGGACCCTAGGTCAGTGCTCAACCGCTGAGCTACATCTGGCCAGGCTACAAAGAATTTTTGAAATGTCGAACCAACTGGGTCCAAATTGGTTAGGGAGGAATATGTATCCTGATGGGGGTGGAGGATGGGAGGAGTGGCTGAAATGCTTGAGGTCATGAGCTCACAATCTTTGGGATTGGGGCCCAGGCATCAGTGTTTTGTTACCTCAGGTGATTCCAAAGTGCAGCCAACGTTGGGTTAGAAGGAACTGGAGTAAAGTCTAACAGGAAAGTGGACCGAGATAGTCAGCATTCAGAATCCTGATCATTGAAGTTTTAAGTAATGAGTCTAAGGCCATGATAATGATTGGCTGAGGTTCAGTGGAAATGAGGGTAACTGGAATTGATGAGATTGAGCTTAAGAAACTGTAGGGTCATCTTGATCCAAATGCCTCTGGCTAAATCAGGACAATGATTTCACTAAAAGAAAAACCAAAAGTAAACCCTGAAGGACTATAGTCAGGCAAAATACGTAAAAAGGGGACACTGCGATCCACTGGACAAGGCAAGGCACTAGGCCAGCTGTTTAATAACCTTTCATTTCACTTTGACACCTGCTACCCTTCAGATCAAGGCAGCTGAGATGACATCCTTTCAACAGCTGAAGTACAGAGAAGTGGTAGATTTGGCTGGAAGGGCAGATGTTACAGATAAATTCCAAGGGTTTCCCCCTTACCCTTCCTATTTCCCCATCCCCTGCCCTTTGGCAACCGTCAGCTTGTTCTCTGTTTTGCTTTGTTTGGTCGTTTTTGTTTTTTTAGATCCCACATGTAAGTGAAATCATATGGTGTTTTTTCTTCCTGACTTCACATAGCATAATACCCTTTAGGTCCATGTTCTCGCAAATGGCAAGCTTTTTTTTTTTTTTTTTTTTTACTGCTGAGTAATATTTTATTGTGTATACATATATTTTTTCACTTCTTCATCCATTCTTCTTGCTCCTATATCTTGGCTATTGTAAAAAACGCTGCAACAAACATAGGGGTGCATAGATCTTTTTGAGTTTTTGTTTTCTTTGGCTATGTACCCAGAAATGGAATTGCTGGATCATATGGCAGCTCTATTTTTAATCTTTTTGAGGAATCTCCATAGTGTTTTCCATAGTGGCCCCACCAGTTTACAACCCCAACAAAAGGTTCCCTTTTCTCCACATCCTTACCACACTTGTTATTTGATTTTTTATACCCATTCTGATAGGTGTGAGGTGGTATCTCACTGTGGTTTTTTATTTGCATCTCCAGATCAGTGATCTTGAGCATATTTTTGTCTGCTGACCATCTATATATCCTCTTTGGAGAAACGTCTATCCAGGTCCTCCGCCATTTTTTATTTGGATGGTTTTTGGATGTTAAGCTGTATGACTTCCTTATGTATTTTGGGTATTAACCCTTTTTCAGATGTATCATTTGCGAGTATCTTCTCCCATGCAGTAGGTTGTCTTTTTGTTTTGTTGACAGTTTCCTTTGCTATGCAAAAACTTTAAAATTTGATGTAGCTTTTATTTTTGTTGTTGCCCTTGCCCAAGGAGACATATCCAAAAAGATATTGCTAAGACTGATGTCAAAGAGTTTACTGCCTGTTTTCTCCTAGAAGTTTTATGGCTTTGGGTCTCACATTTAAGTTAATCCATTTTGAGTATACTTTCGTATATGGTATAAGAAAGTAGTCCAATTTCTTTTTTTGTACATTTATCTGTTCAGTTTTTCTAGTATCACTTAATGAAGAGACTGTAGCATAAGGTCTGATAAAGCTTCACATTCCAGAGGTGAGCTATGACTTGTTCTACTTACTCACAGTCAGCCATTTTGGTGTATATGTATGTATACATTAATGTGTATACATACATTTATGGGAAAAATAAGTCTTACTGATGATACACTAATCTTAAGATAAAGAAAAATTCTAGTTAGCCACAATGTGTATTTTCTGTTCTCTTGGTTTTTGTAGTACGTTATTCTGAACTTTCCTGAGTTGGGGGTGGGGGTAGTAGATGTAGGACACAAGAGAGAATGAACAAAAGGTCAGACATAAACTTCTTTTCATATAACTCTTGCACATATTTCTTTCCTACCATTTAAAATGGTTGAAGAACACCTTTCAAAGTTGTTTGTAGCATTCACTGCATATGACAGCTAAAATTCATATGGTAATTGGAACTAGATCTAACCATAGTTTTCATAGCCATTATTTCATTCTTTCCTTAATCAACAAGACCTCAAAATTTCAATGTGTTGCATGGGGTTTGAGGTCAGAAATTTGGTGCCTGGGTCCTATCAGTCCCTGCTTTGCAGATCTTCTAAAGAGGTTGTAACTATAAGGAAGAGCAGCCAATGGGAAAATACCACTCATGTAATAGCTACAAGAGCACCCTGACTGCAGGACTTCTCAGGTAAGCCACAAGAACCACCTATCTTCCCTATCCATCAGCCCTTATCTTTAACAGAAAAAGCCTGGCTCAGAAAGCCACAAGTCTAATGTCCCACGTTGTCTGGAAATGACAGGCTTGACCCCCAACAGGGCAAGAGTGACTACACATGGTTTCTGACCTCTTGATATAGCAACCTTGTTCATTTATAAAATGCAGCCCCATGAACATTGTGGGCTCACTTCAACCTGGTATCTTCCCTTACCTTAAGAGGGGTGACTGCCCGGCCGGGCGTGGCTCAGTGGTTGAGCCAGGAGATTGCGGTTTGATTCTCAGTCATGGCATATGCCTGGGTTGCGGGCTCGATCCCCAGTTGGGGGCATGCAGGAGGCAGATCAATGACTCTCTCATCATTGAGGTTTCTCTCTCTCTCTTTCTGAAGTCAATAAAGATATATATATATATGTAAAAAAAGGGGGGGGTGACTATGACAGATGCATGTAGGAAGTAGAACTTTCTGAATGCTGTGTGTGAAGCCCATTTAACCATGCTGGAGTCTTCAGTGGCACACAAAGTTTGAGGGGTTTGTTTTGGTTTTATACCACTTTTTATGCTATACTGTTTAAACTGAAGAAAAATTTCAATTGTCATACTTTTAGAAGAACATTATAAGGTGCCAGGCATGTTAGGGAAGTTTTCTGGACCTTCCAGATCTGCTTAGCTGCCAGATGACTACTACTCATTCAGTATCGTATAGAGCACCAAGCCCTGATCTACCAAATCATGACACAATGAAACAGTGGTTATTTTGAGTCATTGAGTTTTGTAATTTGTTATGCAGTGATAACTAGAATGAATATGCACTATGAACTACCCATCACCTGAGCCAATAGTTTTTGCCTTTCTCATAGCTGGTGTTTAGTGAGTACTTATTAATAACCTTTTCTATTTCAGAAACTCCCCACTGTTACCTAATTTCACATTTCATTTTGAGATTATTCCATTTCTTTTATAAAACACTGATCTGCTTATGACATTTAATTACAGGTCATGCCGATGACCCTGCTTCTTGGAAGCTATTAGTAACTGAAAGCATTCCTTCTTTACTTTTAAAACTGGAAACATTTCTTCACTTTTAAATTGTATAACAATGAGAAGATGAATTTTACATTTTAATTAGATACTTGAGGAATTGGTTACCTAGAACGCCCTTTCTGTTTTAACCCTTACTGAAAACTTTCAATAAAATGTTTTAGTTATCCTGAACTGTTATTGTTTGAGAGATTGAACTGAAATAGTATTAAAACTTTTTTTCATATGAGCATGTTTTCTTCTAACTGGCTATTTCTAAGAGTGGGATCCTATGAATTTATCCCATAACCTCACTCAAGGTTTTATTAAACCTTTTTTCCTTTTCTTAAAAATCCTGCCATTTATGCTGTGGACAGCCAAGTATTGCCTCTCATCTGACATCCTTGTTATGGGGAGGACCCATGGGACATTTTCTCAGGTCTTAATAATAGGAATGTTTCTCTAAAGTACTTGTTTTTATCTTAAGGCAGAACACTGATGCAGAACTGATTTTTGTGTTAGATGCTAGGAAGCTCAGGGCCTGCCTTTATCAACTGTTAGTTTCACAAAACTGTTTTGTTAACTTTTACCCTAGCTTCATCTAATTTCTTCCATCCTCACTTTCCTTTTTCTAATTTCCTCACTTAAAAAACTAGCTGTATTGGCATTTTAAAATAAGCTGTCTTAAAAACATTCTGGAACGAGACAGGCTACTTTAGGAATCGTTCAAGATCTTAAGGTATTTTGAAAGCCCCTCTTTCATCAGCTTTAACCCAAACTTTCTAGGCAGACTTCATCACTGTTAAGTCCTTTTGAACCATTCCTTCGGTTTTACTATGACTTTTATACTGGCCACAAGCAGATCTCTGTACCTGTATTTCCTGGATGTGAATTTATAGCTGACAAAAGGTCATTTCCTGTCTACCATCTCTTCCTCTACACACACATACACACACCCTACCTATATCTTTAATTAAAATATTGTTATTTACAATATTGTTATATATTTGATCATATTAAAGTTTTTTGAATGTTAGGAAACTTTACACTTTCTAAATCTCTTTTAATTCAATTTTCTTTAAATAACCAAGCATTGAAAACTTTACAAAAATGTCAATTAAATTCGTTAAGATTCTCTTCCTTTTCCCCCTCAATAGGTCTAAGCATGGGTGGGTCTTTTGTACACACACCTACTTTTACTCAAAGGGGCATGTGATTGATTCTCTCTCAGATCAACTTTTTCCAAACAGAAATCCCTATAAATAAATAGGGCCAGCCTATGTTAATTTTTTGTGATGGTGTTAGTTTTGAAAAACATCTTTAGTAAATAAATAAAGGGGAGATGTAAAATAGTGTGAATCTTAATTGCGAAATTTCTTCTTCTTGCGAAACTTCTTTCCTGCTGCATTTGCTGCTTTTTCGGCCATGATCTCTGAGTACTTCCTTCGGTTATACCTAAAAATAAAATCCAAACCTTTAAGTTCTAAAGTATGACACATCAGACATCAGAAGTTAATGTAACATTTTGGGGAGGTGGAGGCCACTTTTAAATCTCAGTTTTTACTGTTGCTGTTGTTGCATCTTTACCATCTATTCATCACATTTGTACTAAGTTCCACCATGTGTAAGGAGCCGTACCAGAAATTGGTGACAGAGGAGTGAACTAGACAGCCAAAGCCCCTCCCTCATGGGGCTTACAGTCTAGTGAGAAAAAAATGACAACTGTAGAGCGAAGCTTTGAAAACTTTTAGTCACTAGAAACTAATGCACTACATCCAGCTACTACCAAATGCTTTAAATATTTTTGTGGGATAAAAATGTAAATGTAAGGACTAAGCAAAACAAAAAGTTTATACTTACCTGAAAACACACAGCTTACTTCTTATAACCTTAAGTAATATACTATAGACCAATGGTTTTCAAAGTGTGGTCTGGGAATGAAACCCTTTCAGGAGACCATTTGGTAAACACGATTTCACAAGTGTACTAAGACATTGTTGCCTTTTTCATGCTCATTATCTCATAAGTGTACACTCAGAGAAGTCTTCCAGAGGCTACACAATGTGTGGTATCACACGAGACTGATGCAGAAGCAGATATGAGGCTCCAACTGTCTTTAAGCCAGACATTAAAGAGATTAAAATTTATTTTTGTTTTGAAAATATATTAATGTATAATAGATTTGTTATAACTTCAAAATGAATTAATAAATATTTTTTTAAGTTTCTAAATTCTAATTTCTACTATGGTAAATATTGATAAATGTAACCCACAAAACAAAAGTTCTTTGGGTTTTCAATAATTCTTCAGAGTGTAAAGGCATCCTCTGACCAAAGAATTGCTGCTATAGACTATATTTCCCCATTGGGCTTTGGAAACACAGAAGCACAATTTATTGCAGAAAAATAATGCTGTAGTAGCTAGAAGCTTCAAGAGAAGAAGAGCTGTCCACAGTTAATTATGAAAAGGTAAAAAAAATCCTCTAAACAGTGTTATATAAATCTGTTATCACATTACTAAAGATGAGGATTAGCTGTAATTCTCTTTAAAACAGAAGCTATTTAAGCCCTTTAAAACTTTACACCTCACTCAATCCCAAAAGCACAATTTACACAGGCTTTCTAACAAACCTAAAGTAAGATAAATGAAGCAAAACCAAAACCCACATATAATACAGAAAAGCACATTTTCTTCTGTCCCAGGACATTCCTACTAATGAACATCTAATACATTAAATACATTCGGTGAAATTCTCTATCCCAAAGTGGTCAGAGAAAACCTCTTGAGCCAGATGTAAAGTGTATTAAGACATTCCATGAAGAGATGGGCTAGTACAGTGTTTCACACATTGTGGCATGTAAATTTAGGTGATAAAATAGACAATATTCATTTTAAGTAATGTATTTTATCTCAATGAATGTAAAAATATATAATTAATAAACCCATTTACAGTAGCAATATAAAGTCTCCCTTTTAAAATAAAGTAGGCAGTATACAGATTTTTATGAATTTCATTCTACATTTCTAGTTTAGTGCCCCTACTTCCTTATTCTAAGATTTTTTAGTATGTTAACACTTACCTAAGTGTTAACCATATGTCGTGGATAAAAACTGACCTATATTTTGTAATCCTGATAATGGTAATCTCAGAAATCACAGCAATGTTGACAGTGCTTAATTCTAAAATTTTTACCATGACGCAGACTCATTAAATAGCTTACATAACATTTTGAATTAAATTTGTTTCCCATACCTACATCCACATTTTTTTTAGAACCCCTGATAAATACTTCCACTTTTGCTACTGAATCAATCTGGAACTTTAGCAGAGGTTTCTATATGAGGTATGCTTTTAAATCTCCTATAATATATGTACATAGTTGCTTCAAGGACCTTTACTCAGATTGCTCCCTGATTAAAAAATCTTCTCAAGTCCACATGTAAGCCCTGCCTCTCTTTCTTCCTCTTCACAACAGAGCTTCTTCAAAGAGTTGTGTCCATTTCTTCATTTTCAACTCATTCCCCTAAAACTCCTGCCAAAGTTACTGTAACTAAATCCAAAGAAAGGTTTTAAGTTCTTATTTCATTTGATCTCTTGGCAGCATTTCCTGTTAACCACTCCCTCTGGCTTATACCTGCTTAAAACATTCTCTTTCGGTGACTTCTATGACTTTGTGCCCTCCTGGTTTTCTTAATGCCCCCTTGGCTATTCTTTTCCAGTCTTCTTGCAGGCTCATTCATCCACAGCCAGTCAAATATTTTCAGCTTCTCTCGAAAGCAGTAGTTCTAAACTGGGAATGCTTATGCCCTGCATGGGACATTTGGAAATGTCTGAAGACATTTTGATGATCATGAGTGGGGGGCTGCTACTGGCATACAGTGGGAATAGAGGCCAAGCAGGCTGTTAAACATCCTACAATGCACATGAAAGTCCCTCCTAATAAATAATTATCCCATCCAAAATGTAAGTAGTGCTGCTTTTGAGAAAGCATGTTAAAGCATTTTAAAATAATCTGAAATTTTAAAAGTTGATGTATATTCTAAAGGAAAACATACACATTATGAAGTGAAACATAAATTCCTTACCTTCTGAACTCAGAATCAGCCAGCAGTTCATCCACAATAGTTTTCTTCCTTTGTTTCTTGGGAATTCGTGAATGGTAGAAGTCAGCTGGATTGTCAACAATGGTTCCAATCTATGAACAATTGATTGAAATATATCATGCAACACCTGAATGCAATTTTGCTTTTCTATTTCAGGATAGCTCTAACCAACTGTATTTGTAGAAAGCAATGAAAAAAACAAGCATACATTACACGAACATTAAAATTAACTTTGCCATTTTAAAAGCAAAAATAAATCACCCAGTTAATCTGCGTTAGGTCATAATGACATTTCTTTGTTAGTTTAAAATAAATCCAAAATTCCTTTTATACAATTTAGTGCTAAATTCTTGATGAATAGTGTAACTAGAGGAAAAAAATGGGACAGATAATATAAACTCTTGTTTTAGTTTCCGAATTTAATGAAATTGACACATAAATTCTGCCACACACTTATCATAAATGCTGCCAGCTTAGAACCTTCTTATTGACCACTCTGCACTAGGTCATACATTCAACCAAGTAAATTTTACTGAGTGTCTACTATGTGCCAGGTACTGTCCTAGGGAAATAAAGATAAGAATCATCTGGTCCATGGCAGTGAGAAGGCCATAGTCTTAAAGGGAAGAGCTACAAACAGGTAACTACAAAATTAAAGCAAAACAGTACTATGCTGAACAAAACATTATAGATGCTCTAAAAACTAAGTGACCAATTCTGCCTGAGAGGGAGAAAGAAGGTTTCACAAATGATGACATTTTAGCTTGGATTTGTATGGGTAAAATTTCACCATGCAAACATGGCAGAGCCAAGCACATGCAAAGTCAAATGCCAACAATAGTTTGTGCATAGTCTGAGAAGACGGTATAGTTGAGTGTGTTCGTGCTTAAGAGGGCTGTGTGACAAAGTAAGAGCTGGTGAACTGGTTTGGGTGCAGATTGTGAAGGCCCATATCAAGGGGCGTAGGCTCAACCCTACAGGTCAGAAAGAATCACTGAAGGTATCATTGCATGGTATCTGTGATACCATTGAACAAAGGTGTATCATGAACAGATTGCCTTTTTTTTTTGGAATAGACAACTAGCTTCAATGTGGAGGACGGACTAGAGGAGGGCAGACTATTATAATAATCTAGGTGAGCGACATGAAAGGCAGTCAAGAACAAAATGAACTTGAGAGCTCCCAGAGGATGACTCCACTGCTTTCATCTTAAAAACCAAGTTTTATTTCAGAATTTGCCTGGGGATGCCCCTCTACCTTGAAAAGAAGATTTGGTGTAAGTGATTCCCTTTCCCCTTCATCCTGTAAGAATTCTTGCTCTTAGGCTAGTACTATTCATAGACGGCACACCCATCTTATAGGTTCCATAACTTTTAGAGAGCCAACTTATGAACCTAGTTACCATCTGCAACACTCTCTCTATATGGAAAGCCATTATATGCTGGTGGCTGTCTGAATTGGGTTCTGGCCATTATTATATGGCCTGAGCAGATGCACACTGTAAATATTCATCTATTTTAAGAGTAAATAGAAAGATGACACTATAGTGCTTTCCAGGCTAAAGTCCACAGAATGTCACCACCATTACTCTGTTTGCTTCATACCTGGAAGTACTTAGGGAAACCATCCCTATCGTTTTTCTTGTAAAACCTTTTTGGGTCCATGCCAGCTCTCATCTTCAGGGCTTTGAGATCATTTTTTAGTTCATCTGTCAATTCTGGAGCTTTCATACCAAACCAGCCGTCACCTGCTGTTTTTTGTCGCTCTTTCTGAAATTCAGGTTTAAAAAAACAAACAGAAAATTCTAACTTTAATAGTGTATAAACCACACCCTATTTCCCCCAAAATTGTACATACAGAAAATTTCATTAATTAAAAACAAACAAGGTTACTTTACCGGACGTATTGGTCTCCAGATCTATCGTTCATAAAAGGAATGAAGCCATAAAAAGTGATCTCTCTGGTAAGTTAGGTAAAGCATTATCAGTTTCATAAATGAGGGATCCTTTAAATTTAATTTTGTATTTTAGTAAGAACTGCTGACTTGCTGGAAGAATAACCCACAGCTTTAATTTCTACTATCTAAAATAGCCTACAGAAGAGATAATGTATAAAAACATTTCCACTTCTCAAGTAAATATTAACACATTTATTCAGTCACCTTGGTATCTCAAAGTCACTTACTAGAACAGTCCAGAAATTGGTATTATTTCTTTAAAAAAGAGAAAGAAGAAAGGAAGAAGGGAGGGAGGGAAGGGGAAGGA